TTGGCTATGTTATCATTAATTTGTTCTCTTATATTTTTAATATTTTCTAGATTGCATGCATGATAGAGTGTTTTCCATTCTGTGTTGGCTGCAGTTATCCAGTCAGATAGAAGGTTAGGATCTTGAGACAGTGCAGGTATATTAAGATGATGAAGAGAGTTAAGTTAATCAATATTTTGGTTGTAAAGTATAGGCATAGGGGTATGATTGCGAGATGCTGCTTTAACTTGTCTTATAATGTTGCCAAGTTTTTTGAGTTCTGAATGTAGTTTGGATGCATTGGAGGAAAAGATATGTTGAAAGTTATGGACAGTAAATTTTTTGTTTAAGATATGTTGAAGAGCAGCTGAAATTATACTAGTTTGGATTTTGTGCCAAGTGGCCTCAAGTGATTCTGTAATGTTAGTTGTAGAAGGAACATTGTATCTACATATAATATATACAGTACATATATATATGTTATGCATTAATTTACCTGTTGCTATTAAGTCATACTAATATTAAGTTTCTAATAACATAACAACTAGGCCATTTATGATGCTAAATCCTTGTATGTATAAATGTATAAGTTATTAATACATAATTACCATTTTGCAAGGTAATAATAGTGGATACCAACAATACATGTATGTACATAAATTATAGAAAAATAAAATTTTTTCACACCTTTACTTAGTTTAATGATAAGAATAGAATACAGTATATTTTCTAATGATCATAAGACGAATGTAGTTATTTTGACTACTTTAAAAGACTTAGACAATGCATTTTTTGTTGAACATTTAAATTTTAAAGAAATCAATTCTGTATCAGATAATGATAATAATGAGGAGATTCTTGATGACATTAATTTAGATAAATTAAATAAATTTAAATTTATAAAAGTTTCTGATAATTATATTAAGGATGAAATTTTTGATAATTTGAAATTAACTATTAAAAAGCTTTTTGAAAAAAAAAATATTCATATTCTAAACAAACCTGTTTCGATCAAATTAGTTATAAATAGTTTCTTGTATATTAGACTAAATTTGAAAGTTTGAATGAAAACATGTAAGATATGGTTATTAAAAGACAGCTTATAGCTTTTTAAAAAGATAAAGATACAAAAAAAGTTTCTAAAAATAATAGAAAATATTCACATTTTCAATATTTTTATAATAATAATATTTTAATTTGTTGTAGTACATACTTGGCACTTGTAAGAGTTAGCCATAAATATCTAAAAACTATTATACAGCATTTACAAGAACATAGTCTTGAAGAACATACATATGGCAATATAGATAGAACTTCAAAAAACATGAATTATATTAAAGTAAATTATAGTATAGCATGTGATATATTTCAGTTTTTAAAAAACTATTCTGATGTTCATGATATGCTCTCATCTGGATGACATTTTAAAGAAATTTCTATGCCAATTGTGTTTCTTCCTACTAGCTATAGCTATGCTTCTGTATATTATGATTATGTGCAGGCCTTGAAAGATAAGTATAGCAAAAGTGTTTATATTATTGCTGAATTAACTTTTACTAATATTTGAAAAGCTTTAATATTTTTAGTTCAATTTATGTCCTCAAAGTCAGATTTGTGCAAAACTTGTGAGATGATAAAAATGGATATTCAATATGCTATGTCATATAAAAAAAAATTAGAACTTACTAAAAATTATTTGGCACATTTAAGTTATACACAAAAAAAACATGATTACTATAATAATAATATTGTAAATGCAATTGAAGATAACAAGCATAATCAAATTACAGTTGAATCTCATGTATCATTTAAATCTTTTAAAGGTATTGCTCATATTGCATATAACTGGGCCCAATATGTACAGATATCTTATTCACCACAGCAAGTAGAATTCTTATATTTCAAAAATTCCTAAAAAGTACACATATTTAGTATTTGTAATACTAGTTATTTTCCTTATATACAACAAACTAATTATATTATTGATAAAGCCAAGATGCCTGATGATGGCAAATAAGGAAAAAGTATTAATTGCACTTTAAGTTTGGTTTGGCATGCAATTCATAAATATAACTGTAACAAAAAAAAATTAGTTATCATGTGTAATAACTGTATAAGTCAGAATAAAAATAATTATTAATTATTTTTTTATTCATGATTAATTAATCATGACATGTATAATGAAGTTGAACTAAACTTTATGATACTTGAACACACAAAATTTATTTGTAATAGATGTTTTGGTTTAATTAAAATTCTTTATCAAAAAAGTATAGTTAATATCATAGATGATATAGTCTTAATTGTTAACTGTTCTATAACAATTAATTTTAAAATTGTTTAGTGTTATTTAAAAGAAGAAGGTTTTCAATATTATGATTTCAAAACTTACTTCTAATTATTTAAAAAGCTATCTAACATTCAAAAGTATTATTACTTTTATCTTGCTTCACAATATTCAGGAGTCATTTCTTACAAAAATAGTTTTGAAAATAATTATAAAACTTTTACAATATGTTCTTTTTCTTTTGATGAAAATGTTTTACCTTCTATAATTAATACCAAGTCATTTTCTTTTAAAAAACAAAAAAAATTGTATAAAGAAATTGCATTTTACATCAATTTATCTTTTCGTAAAATTATTTGCCCAAAACCAGAAGAACTGAAAACAAATTAATTCTAATATTTTATATATCGCCTATATCAGAATTGTATCAAATTAATTATATACTCAATATTAATATTAGTTATTATATATATATATATTGGGGTGTGGCAACCTAGTGAAGTAGTCAGGTTGTCAACCCTCCAAGTGGTAGGTTGGGTGTTCAAATCCCATCGACAGTAAAAATTTAGATAATCACCTATGTAATATTCGTATTATAGCAACTGTTACTAACGATTGGGTTAGGATATCTGTAATGGCAGTCACATCAGCATGACTGATAGGTAATGGGGCATTCATATAACAGGTCACATGACATTGTCCTTTGGGACAAGGTTGTGGTTACATGAAGGAATGCAAACCGGCAATAGGTGGTACAAACACTAGATAAGTCCTTGTGGCTGTGTAAATCTGTTGAAATTGGGTAACAAGAAGTCTATTTAGAAAGACCTAAGTAGAAAGGTAGCCAGATCTTTGATGGCCCTATTTTAAAGGCTAGTCTTATGAAACAGATACCAAGGTCGAAGTAGCCGGATAGGCAAAAATTTCTAGATAGAGGGTACCACTAACCAGGCCACTGGATCAAGCTGAAGGAAAAGGATATCGGGCCAACCTGATATATCAATGAACCAGTTGTAAGTCCTACCAGGCTATCTGGATTGAGAGTTTGGTAAACTGGCAGGAGTAGAGGTCTGATCTGTTGAATAATTATTCGAATATTCGATGAATATTCGGATGTTCGAATATATGTTATTTCATCAAATTAAATATTGAATATATTTCTTATTCACTGATTAATTCAATGAATATTTGGTGATATTCGGTGA